TAATTTATACAAAATCTATGGAAAAATATAATAAAAAATAATATGTTCAGATCTGTCTTATAATGTTTTTGTAAAATTGAATTAAAGTGATGTTCAATAAAAAAAAATTAAGAGTGAAATGAAGAGAAAAATTTGTCAAACCAAGTATAAAATATAACAGTTAATATAGTGGTATATATGAAAATCTCACGAATGAAAGAAATATATGATATTTGAAATATGAGATGAAGGATAAATCATTGAATTTTATATTCAACTATAACATGAATTTACCACACTTTCAACCTCAAGTCTCGTTTCAATATGGTAAACGAAGTCATACAATTTATTAGATACGTGCTCACAAATTGCACGCGCAAATATTTATTATCTCTTTCATTAGCTGGGAGGTAAACTCATTACCGAGATTCTGAGATAGTAGGACATTGATATAATGAAGTTAAATTGTAAATAAGGAAAGAAATATCTTAGTCCATAAATAATGTTATAAAGTTAATAATATAAAGTTATAAAACAAATTAACTTTACTATTTTCGTTTATCCGATGTAATATAGTGTAATATTGATTTAAAAAGGGTGGAAAGAAATAAATTTTCCTTTGAATTTTCCTTTAAATTTTTTTGAACCCTTTAAATTTTCTGCAGCTCATCTATGCTTTCTATAGAATAGCAACTTACAATTATTTATATTCTTTATAACCTGTGTATGCCAATAACCAATATCAATATCAATTGTCAAAGGAGAAATAAATCAAGTTTTTCTTATTAAGTTTTAATTAGTCAAATAAATTACATCGATTTAGGTTTAAAAACTCCTTCATACATTATGCTTGTTTATATTTTGTGTAAGTATTAGGTAACGAATGCATATAAGAGTTGATTTTTGTGATTATGATGAGAATGGCTTATATTATATCTGTATGCAAATCTTTTTTGTGAAATATTTCTTTATGAAATATTTAATATTAATTCTGACAAATTAATAATAAAATTAATGTGAAATGCAACGAAAAAAATTATTTATGTACCCCTACTTATGTTTGAGGGAAATTATATACGCATATGTGATTCACTACTTCTATCACTAGTGAGCAAATATATATGAATTATCTGCTTGAGTATATGAATGAATAATTTGATATATGTTTATATGTATGTATTTATGTAAGCATATATGTATCTATACTTATATATGCATATGTATATATAAGTACGTAGATAATAAATTATATCAGCAGATCTTTCATCTACAAATAATTGCAAAATATGTACACGTTCTCCTATCAGGATACTTGAATGTATTATAAATCAGGATAATTATCCGAATTAGATTAAAAGATCCGTCGGTTACTCCCTCCCCAACCACCAAACATATAATCAACACATACAATCGAAATCATTCCTTAAATATCTTAAGAACTCTTTCTTTTGTCCACGATTTCTTGATTACTCCTGTGAATTTGCGTACGTTCCCTGCACATACAATTGAAGTTCCATTTATGGCGAAGATGCATACTATTCAAGCGCCACTAGTGTGCACTCAAATTTTCTCATACCCTTCAGCTTTATACCATGTAGTATATATAACTATATACTTTGTTCGAGACTTTTTTTACGATTACATTTTTCATATTATTTTACATCTTCTCTCTGACTTCTCTCTGTCTTAAGTATTTCAATGAAATAAAATTTTAGAATCGTGCAACTTTTGTATTACATAGAATTTGCTTATTTGTTATAATAAAAAGTGCATTATTTAAGTTAACTTAAAGATCTATTGAAGATCACAGTAATTTGCTTTATTCTATTTTATAATAGGAATGATTATTTTAATATCCCATCATTATAAATAAATGTTTTCAAATTATTTGTCTCTAAAAAACTTTAGACTATCATAAGTGTCCAAATGTTCGTGTTAATGTAAATTATTGTAATCTTTACATTAAAAAATGCGAGAATCAACTTGGTAATAAAACTATTTAACACAACCGAAAACGGAAAATTTAAAAAGAAAATTAAATACCCTTTAATACGAATATTAATTTTCTGTTTTTAAATATTATAACTTTCTAATAATATAGATTTTTTTAGAACATACATTTTAAAACCAAATGATTAAAATAAATGAAAAATTTATAATTTAAAGCAAATTATATAAATATATATTATATAAATAATATATAAATAAATATAAATAAATATACATATAAATAAATATTTATATAAAGCAAATTTAAAATTTGCTTATCCTTGCTTTAAAATTTTTCAAAAAATCATAATCAATGTAATTGATGGATAATAGGATATCATTTATTTAAAAACAATTAAGAAAAATATCAAATGAATGGTGAATATTGTATGAAGTTATATTTACATAGAGTAACCATTGTTGTATTCCTTTTTGATTTATAATAGGGTCAACCCTCATACACGAAAACTAATCTATTTTTATGTAATATTTTTATGTAATAATAGGCAATGCTAATTAAATAGTGATTTTAATATCACTTCTTATTTGAATGATTATAAAATTATAATTTTAAATATTAAATTTTTATGTTTTATAATCCTCGAATCCCTTTTAATGATTCATTTTATTAATTTTTATTGACTTCAATGCATATTTTATACATGTATGTAGCTATACGCGTAGTCTTCTAATAATTTAGTAAATACATTTCGACATCAATGAGTATAAACAAGATAATAAATAATTATATCTAAATGAAGATAACGATTTTTAATGATGTTATTAGTTGAATTAATACAAATATCTTATAGAATAATTTCCTTTTTTCACATTTACATTATGCGACCTCTCATATCATAATCGTTGATACTTTTGTACAAACTGTGAGTACTCGGTTATGTAGCAATAACTATGAAAACTTCTAGAATGTACAAACAAATCAGGAATCAAGGAATCAAATAAATTGCGAAACTATATTATTTCATATTCTTGCTATCTGAAAATTGGACGTATAATATGCCTCCACTGTATTAGACCAAAGATCACACGTGCTTTCGAGCACATCTGTTTTGAAATTTATAGTTTTTTCTATTCTTTCTTTCTCTCTCTCTCTCTCTCTCTCTCTCTCGGTATAAATGTCATATAATTTAAGAAATCTATTCGCTTCATTCCATTTTTAATCAAATGTCTGGAATGTGAAAACTATCACGATAGAAGAAAGCAATTATAAAATATAGGAGTTAAAAGACAAACGGCATTGCTTACTATTTATAAAGGATATATATATATATATATATATTTATATATCCTTATATATATACATCCTTATAGCCTTAAATATATATATATATATATATATATATATATATATATACTTTATAAATAGTAAGCAATGCCGTTTGTCTTTGAACTCCTATATTTTATAATTGCTTTCTTCTATTGTGGTAGTTTTCACGCTCCAGTCACTTGACTAAAAATGCAATAAAGCGAATAGATTTCTTAAATTATATGATATTTGTTCTTTAAATAGTTTCTCTTCCTTTTACAACGGTTTATAATGTAAAATCAAATTCTTTTTCTGACAAAAGTTGTTACCTATATATGCCTGATTATTACGTTTTTCATATAACCATTTTTAACGTCGAATATTTTTTATAAATATCAAAAATTATAATGTTTTATGTAATTATTTTAGCAAAATATTATGATAACGCTATTCAGGCTGTAAGTTATTTATGATAGTTAAATTTCAGTAGATTTTCTTACCGAATAAGTAAGTCTTGTCAAATTTACGCTAATTAATAGATCTATTATTCAACATAAACATTCTAATTAACTAAGCATTCTGGAAATTCGACAGATGGTTCATATGTTAACAACAACAACAACAAAATTGATTAAATCCAATTCTGTATTAAATACTAAAATCAATATCTTGTTTCTTTTTGAATAGGTGCATTGGTTTAAACATTAATATTTTGTATCGAGAAAGAAGTTTGACATAACCTCAATATTATATGATATATCTATAATAATTTTTTTAATCAAATAAATGCTTTAATTGTAAATAATATCATGAACATTATATATCAGAATTTTATGAGTGGTTCATCCATGACAGTCTTAAGTTATTTACGAGATAATAGTTTCGATTATGAATATAGTTATAGTGACTATATTCCTATAAATTTTTCATGCGAAGTAACTAAAATTTTAAAAAGAAAAGGGGAAAAAATTGATCTGCAGATACGTATTCAATTTTAGAATATATTTAGTATAAATACGTATTCATATCCTCTATTAATTAATTCACTTTGATAACTTATTTATACATTCTTGGAACATTAAACAGTCTTTATGTACTTTAGAAATCTTTGGTTTAACGCTCGACAGTCGGTTCTCGCTTTAGCATAAATCACACTCGACAATCGACATGAACTTTCCCTGACATTTATTTTCCTCTGTTCATAGATATTCGACATACTAAAGGGCAAACAAACAGGCATACATACAGAGTAAAATGAGTCTATCAATATTTCAATGTCTTTCTCAACATGTACACCACTATATGTATAAGAATGCAGGCATACCTACATATACACGCACGCATGCACACATATGTACCTGAAAGTAGATTCACTAGTCATCACGTACCTCAAATAAACTATTGATAGGTGCTTAATGCTTTCATCGCCCAAACAATGACACATCGTGAAATAATGTATATCATCGTCTTTTCGATAGTTCGCTTCACGCATTATTAAACATCATCTACATATACTGAGTGAAATGCTATAAAATCCATCTTCGGTGCTAACAGGATACTGCATGAATTTTGTCTCTCTTTGTTTCCGTCATTTCCATTTCTCTTTATTACTTAAATCGTTGTGTGTAAAATGGAATCTAAATGCAAATAAAAATTTAGTACAATATTAGTTGGTAATAATCACATGCACTGCGTGTAAGATGCAATCGATCAATGATTTTCTTCACACGCACAAGCTCGTATTATAATTCAATAATAATTCAAATAATTAGTCGATTGGCTGCCATCTTATTCTGCACTGCGTCTAAATGACGAAGAATGAAATATTGTCTAGACGTCTGTACCGGTACCTTCCTGATATCCTTCATCCGGTGAACTACGGGTTGAACCTAGAACACGCTTTAATGCCGAAACAGGTGGTAAAACAGGTATTCCTTTTTGCCAAACACGAATTTGTTTAGCTGTTTGTTTAGGTGGAAAAGATTCTTGTATCTGTTGACCAGGAATCACAATACCACTATGAGCTTGTTGAACTTCTTTTGATCCATATGTATTAATAGATGCCGACGGCCTACAAACTATATCTCTGCTTTGACCTTCCCATCCTAGGCATTCAGAATATAAGAGCTTGCTTTCCTCCATGTTAACAATTCGACTATATTCACCACTAGTAGTATATCCTCCTTGAATTACCTCTTCATCATTAGAACCACGTCTAGTATCTCTGATAAGATCCGGATTATCAATTGGCATTAAAGATGACTGAGGTGAGTAACACGATCCAACTACAACGGATTGCGGAATTCTTGCAGTCATTTCATCATAACCACGATTAATAAGATAGTCATGATTTTCCGTGACAATATTGACATTTGATCGTTGTACATAACTATGATTAATTAAAGATGGCGGTGTAACGATTTTAGATTCGTTAAAACTCGTTGCTTCTATCTCATCTACTTTCCGTCGACTAGCTGTTGAAGTAGTTGATTGCGGGTTGTTTGGATCATGACTACTGCTGTTACAACCTTCTAATGGTAAATTATCCGACAAAGGCGCTGGAGTTTTTACATCTTTCTGAGGCATTCTTCTCAAACGAATAAATAAAACCATAATAGTTAATAAAATAAAAAGTATAAGTACCACAAGAGCTGCGGATATACCAGCAATTTGTCCTGATCCTAACGTTGACATTCCAGCAGTACGCAAAGAAACGTGAAGAGTAAAATTTGCTTCAACGCTACCAGCTTGATTTTCTGCAACACAGAAAAAATTTGACGAATCTGTCTCTTGTGCGTTGGTTAAAACTAGCGTACTAAGCTTTCGAAATTGACCCTCCTCATAAATTAAAATTTTTTGATAGCTATTTACTGCTGAGTGATTAGTATATAATTTTCCATTCCAAATCCATTTTATTCTAGCAGGTGGTATAGCGGTTACTGTACAAACTATGCTTGCATTTTCGCCTATAGTAGCTTCGGCATAACGACTAACTATGAGCATCACTGGCCTACAAGCAAAATCATCGAATGTTAATTCTGAGAAAGACTTATTGATTAATTGCTCAGGTCGGTGACACATTGGTGCGATCAACGTTGGTAAATTTTGCTTCACCAACCAGGATTTCATCTCACGTAAATGACAATCACATATCCAAGGATTCTCATGTAATTCAATACTTGTTAATTTAGTGAGTGGCTCAAAAGTGCCTGGATGTAATGTAGAGATTCTATTATCATTTAGCTTCAAACTTTCTAACATCTCCAAACCTTGAAAACCTTTAGCAGCTAATTCAGTTAACTCTGCATTAGATAGATCCAATTTGACAAGATTCTGTGTATTTTTAAATGCATATGCAACAATTTTATACAGTGGATTAAAGGACAGTGTAAGATCTCTGAGGAAAGGAGTATCACTGAAACTAGCGCTGGGTACAGTACTGAGTAGATTATGACTAAGATCTAATTCAATAAGATTTGTTAGTCCAGCTAAGGCATTCTGCTCGATTCGGTCGATGCGACAGCTGCGGAGATACAATCGCTGAAGGTTGGTAAGGCGTACCTTGATAAAAATTTTGTTTGTTAGTGCACCGATATCATTTTCACTGGCATCGAGTACCTGTGTTTCTGAATCAATGTCGTCAGGTACGCTAGTCAATGCGCGGCCCTTACACTCTACCGTCCGCTTTCCGCTTTTCCACTTACACGTACACACATTCGCGCACTTGTCACCCATTGCTCGGCCGAGTCTCGTTGAATAGCTAAACAACAGGCAAAAAAGAAATATCACTTTATTCAAATACATCTTCTATTGTTAAATATTTCTGTATTAAACCAAAAAAAACTTTTCCTCTCTTATTCTATCTGTCTGTCTGTCTGTCTGTCTGTCTGTTTATTTTTCTCTCTCTCTCTCTCTCTCACTCACACACTCACCCACTCACTCACTCACTCACTCTCTCATTCGCTCTCTCACCCACTCATTCACTCACTCACTCACCCACTCAATTTCTTGCTTTCGTCTTCTGCTTTCTTCCGCTATTTTGATTTCACTTTATTAGCCTTCTTTTGTATTTTTCCCAAGAAATAATGTATAAAGCTCAGCATTCGAGACATTTAGTTTTTGTCTTTCGATTAAAAAAATATCCCATGTATCTAAAGCTCAAAATATATTCAATAGTCATGATCAAAATGAATTGAGTTATCCTCCTCGATTTAATGTTCAAATGTTGTATCGATTATAAGAATTCGTCTATTCTCTTGGGATGTTTTTTTTGTTAAATTCCTTGTTAAATTACTAATATGTGTGTCTTAGTGAGCTTATTACATAAATACTTTGAATAGAAAGTGATCCGGTTGATCCATACACAATCTACGAGAAGATGGAGCACCTACTCGTTTATTTTCTTTTACCACCAATTTTTTATTCTTGTTTGCTTCTCTAGAGATTTCAATACGCCCTAAGATACATACATCTGTCTAAAGTAATATACTACTACTAATGATAGTAGATTTTAACTCTGAATTTACTCGACCTACATGTAAACGATAGTGCTGTTGATCCACTGGGCTTCTCTGTTCTCATATTTTCTCTTCCACCTTCAATGTGTTCACGTGCACTCTCAAAAAAACCTCCATCCAACACCATCACACACAAGCATTTCACCTCACGCTAGCGTCCGTCACCCCTACTCTTCTCATCGGCGAAAAACCGATAAAACGTTGAATTATACGGGAACGATGGAAGTCCCACGTACAAAATAAGAGTAAAGCCACAGTCGGCAAAAAGGTAATTAGATGGAAGCCGATTCATACATAAAGCTTTTGCTCAGTAGGCATTTATTTTGATCCGAAGAATTTCCTTCCGTTCAATAGTCTCGCCACTGGATCTATCATATATGGATTTCAAACGCTGAAATCGTGCTTTAAAAAGTCAATGGCATTATGCTGCTCAAATTACTGAATAATAGCTCTTTTATACTTATGCTTTGCATGAATTAAAGCGGAGCGAGGACGCACACGTAGAAGACACTCTATAGCACTGGCGCGCGCAGCAAAGCCATTTCTGGGAGTAAAGGCTCGACTATGGCATTTGCCAAATAATAATGTCCTCCAAACTGCACAATTAAAGGCCGAAATAGCCGCTCTCCGGCGTCTCTTTTCATCCACATTTCCTCGTACAGACCGAGTTGTGCACACTCGAAGCTAATTTCTGTCTCACAAAATCACCAATTGCCAAAAAAATCCAAACCAACCCAACGCACAAAGTAGTAATACTTGCACATATACGCGCAAGTCGAAGTAAAAGCTCGCTCAATGGTCTCCATGGGCAGGGGAGGCCAACGGGTCGGGGCGAGCCAAGATACGACGCACGTAACGTTCTATATCACGGTGCTGATGGGAACGGGCGGGTTCACTATGACGACCCACACAGGTCGAGGGGAAGAGCAAAACTCGCGCAGCACAGCACCGCGCAGCTCCAGGAGTAACGGCAGTGGTGGCGGTAGCGATCGGAGCGAAGTTTCCCCTAAGAGAAAGAGGTTGCCTGATAGCTTTAGTGTAAGGGAGAAAAACGTTGAAAACCAGCACAAAGTAGGACGCACCCTTCTTCGCCGTTTTCCCCGCAATTTAACCATCCTCTCGCGCACACTCGTTTCACTGGCATACAGGCGGCGCGCAAACGCATAAAAAAAGAGAGAGATAGATGGTATTTGCGTGGCACACGCTTCTTTTTCTATTTTGTTTCCTTTTATTCTATTATCTTCTCTTTCTCCTTCATGTCCGTACCTCGAAGTCTGCTATTTAACTACAGCACTGAAAAATGCATATTCACGCATACATGCGTTATTATCGCATACTTATCGCAAAAGAAAAGAAAAGAAGGAAAAGAAGTTCCATGTCTCGTTGACTCGACATGGGTATGATTTTTACCCTCCCCGTCCATATCCCACAATATGGCTCTTTTTCTTCACATGTATCACCCTTATTGGCTCCATCTCTTTGTAAAGTTTCCATACCATTGTTCAACTGTATTTTCTCCTCCTTTAAAATTTATAATAGAAAAGAGATGAATCGAGAGCATAAAGTATACGTCGAACGACCATCGCTGCGGTGCAACATTTTTGTACTGTACGGGCGATATGAACGACACCGACATTTGTTATCCAAGTCGCTCTCTTTCTCTTTCTTTCTCTCTCTCTCTCTCTCTCTCTCTCTCTCTCTCTCTAAATAAATAAATAAATAAATATATATATATATATATATATATATATATATATATATATATATAATTTGGTCTCTTATTCATCTCCCTCGACTGCATTATTTTTCTACATATATATATATCTATCTTACTCCTGTCAAAATCCAGCACTGTAAGATACAGGGGTATTATAAAACCTACACTATATCCAAACCCTCAAAAGAACGCATAAAATAAGCGCGTGCATCGTACTCCCTTAACAAAGCCTTATAGAATGCTCAGAGGTGTTCGTGTATATGCGCGCGCTTGCTTACTTGAGCGTGCGCATTGCGTATATGCATCAGGCTCCCATGTGTTTATATAGAATAATTAAAATATTAATCGGTATGCCATTGCATGTGTGTAATTATAGATTTTTACTTTTCCATAATGTATATAATAATATAAACATTATTATATACGTTACAATAATGAATGTTTGTAATCTTTATTTAAACTTCTACTAATTTTACAGTTTAATTTTTATTTGCTTTCATTTATATACATAATAATATAATTTCATTTATATTTATTTGTAAAGCCAAAATCTTACATGCATTAGTAATTAATATAGTTCATTAAATATTACTAATAATAATGTATCAATTCATTTGACTATAAATTTATGTATCTACATTTTCATCTTAATTAAAAGAAAAAAATGCAATATATAGTGCCTTGAAAAAATTCCAAAGTTGTTTCGAACAGTTACATTTATTTTAAACTTAATTGTTGTAAGCTTATCATTTTACAGTTTATGTAATTATTTGATTTTTATTGAAATCGATCGCAATTTTCAAAAATAAAAACTAATAAAAATCTATTCTATAAAATTCTTTTTCAGTTCTTTACAGACATACAATTTCGAAGTTCTGTTCTAATTTAATGCACGTCCTGGAAAAGTACGAATTTTCATTACATAATTCAATATAATAAATTACAAAATATTAATATAAAATAAAATTTATTCACTATGTGTTTTTTTTACAAAATAAACTTATAAAAATGAATAATTTCAAAAGATTTCATATCTATTCATTACGCCTGCGTAAAAGTACTATTTTCTACTACCATCAGCTTCCTACGAGCAAAAGAAAGTCACTTCAACTTTCGAAAATGAAAAGTGTAGTAAATAAATATATATATAAATTATATAAAGTAGCCGAGAATGAAAAAAAAATCATAGAACGTAAAATTTATATGCAATGCAATTTAAAATGAGAAAGATAACTTCTGTGTACGTGCGCATGCGTCCAATGCAGAGGCATGATAAACTACAAGCCTATTTCTGATTATATGAGTATGAAGGAGTGACAATGAATTAAAACATCCGATCCTATTTCTATCGTTTACAATGTTAATTCTCTTTTGACTATTCAACGAATGTTTAAAGACACTATATTTAATTACAGTATGAAAGAAGGTAGAGTAAATCTGTATGTAATTACGGTCCACGGCATAGAAATGTGTACAAAGCACAAATGTAAGAATACTAATCTACCAGTATAAAGAAAACAAAATAAAGTGGGTAAAGAGGAAAGAAAGAGGCTAGAAGAGCTTACGGATCAGTCAAGGACCGCGCGGCTGAAATGTTCTGCTTCTCATTTTGCTATTATTCTCACTTTTCTATTATCACTAAGAATGATTTATTTTTCTTAATAAGCTGCACCAACCAGAACACGCATGATATATTGGCATCGTACATAGTCACCTTGTCTCTTTTTCTCATTTTTTTTTAATCTATCTATATTATATGGGCGTTGAACAAAGAAATCCAAAGAGAAAGAGAGACAGAACAATTTTAATCTTTTTCTCATTTGATACCATAGTTTAATACAATCTTTACTTTAATCAAATAATACGATACGGCATATATTTCTTTACTTGTCTGTTTTTTTATATTTGACGACACATTCGTTCTTTTTGTCCTCCTGCAAGTGCTTTGTATCTTATAATGTTAATCTGAATCTTTATGCAGTCTTCTTTATTTTATTACTTATTTATGAATTAAAAATGAATTGCTTTAGCCTTTGATATATTTAATAATCTAGATAACGATTAAAATAATTTAAAAATTTGTTTTTAACTACAAAATGCAGCTGAAATTCTATTATTACATAATGTTAATTTTAATGAATATATGAAACCGTAGGTATTCCATTAAATATTTTGAAACAAATTATTTCACTAAATTATGAATTTTCTAACTTTAATAAAATCTAAGATTTGAAATTTGTTAAAAATTTTAATTGTATAAATAGAAATTGTATAAATAGTCTATAATATCAGTAATAATAATCTAATACTGCATTTTATAATTAATATATTAGGTAGATATAGGTAGATTGATATAATTAGTACAGATATGACAATTATGTACATCTAGTAATAGGTAATGGCAAGCTTTGTTTATCATTGATTGATTCTTTATAAATACGAAATATAATTATATATATATTATTATTATGAAGAGTATTGTTTCTCATTATATGTATTATTATTAATACACACTGCTTTCATCTATACCTATTCTGAAAGTAAATTTAATTTTATTTATGATTTACGTTTCCAGAGTGTTCTG